TTTTTGCTGTGCAAAATTTTGAAAATTTGCAATTTTTTTTTCAAAATCTGGATTGCAAAATTATTATGCAAAATCTATCGAACCGATTTTGATGAAATTTGGTGTGATGATTCTACATAACATGAAGTTTTCTTGAGCCAAGTATAAAGGTCCTACACCCAATTTAAATACACCAAAAAAATTCCCTAAAAAGTATTGTTTTTTAACCCCATTTTTGTGATTTTTTCGATTTTTACCATAATAATCATGATTCATTCGATTTGTAACTAGTCATGTTTTATAAAAAAATTTATTAAAAACATTTATTTCCTCTTCCATTTTCGCCTAAAATCAACTCTTGAAAAGATACATAATTAAATAGGAAGAAAAATATGACATTTTTCGAATTTTTTTAACATATTGTGCCGCCAAAAGTTAAGCCCACTTTTTTTTTATGCGCATAGAAAAATGTTAATTTTTAGTGATATTTGAAAGCCAAAAAGCCAAAAATCTCCGTGGATATACGATTCACCCAAATATGGCTTTTTGAAACAGATACCGTCTGGACTATAATAATAACAGCGATGCTGAAAACACTATACATGCAATAGTTTTGTTTATCAATAACAGATAACGCGAGTGAATTAACTTAAAATAAGAAAACATGATACACTCGCTTCAGTTGCTGTTGTGCCTGACTCTGTGATATATCAAAGAAATGTATAACGGTATTTCCCCACAAGTTTGCAAGACGCTAGAGCAATTAGCTATCGAAAGCGGGGTCAATTTCAAGATAGTTTCCCATGACTCCAACAATAAAGGTGCAGGTTATTCGGGAGAAGTTATATTCGTGAAATTAAGGGATACAAAAACTCATAAAGAGACCAATGTCATTGTGAAACAAGCTCTAAAAGACCAGTCCCTTAGAGACTCGTTGTCAATAAGGGATATTTACATGAACGAGATTCACTTTTATTCGAAGGTTTGGCCTGTGCTGGACAAGTTTCAAGAACAAATTCCGATGCAATACCGCTTCCAGAAGTTACCCAAATATTTAGCTTCGGTTTCGAACGAGAATTTTGAGTACTTGGTAATGGAAAACTTGAAGTTCCAACATTTCCAGAACCTTGAAAAGGAAGTGTTTTTAGATAAGGAACATTACGAACTTATTATGAGGGAATACGGGAAGTTCCATGGTATATCCTTCGCCTATAAAGCTTTGTACCCTGAAGAGTACGCTGATTTAGCACAAGGGTTGGCAAGTATGTTTTCGCATATGGTCCGGACAACAGATTTCTTTGAAAAATCGATAAAGTATGCATTTGAAATATGTACTGAATACTTTGAGCCGGGAGTAGATGATGCCGTGATCGAAAAGTTACGACTCTATCTTGAAAATGGTAAAGAGTTGTTCTTGGAAAGCATAGAAGGTAAAACGAAATATACTGCCATCACCCATGGGGATTGTTGGAGCAATAATATGATGTTTAAGTACGATGTAAGTAGCAAATAATATTTTTGGGTGCTGCAATATTTATACAGGGTGATTCATTAATAATGGGACAGAGCTTAAGGGCATGTTGCTGACCTCAAAATAGGGCGATTAAGCCAAATATGCCTTATCCGAATGTTGCTCCTTTTCGATCTACAGGGTGTTAAAATTGAAAAAATATTTTCGATTTTTTTAAATATCTTGAGCATCTTTGAACGCATTGTCTTGAAAGTTTGTACACCTATGTTTTCTGAGGTGGTAATTACGGAAATGGTAACTATTTTGCAATCACATCTAGGATGCGCTAGTTGTAGTGTTCCGTCGGAGTAAACATATGTCAAACTTTTTTGTCCTTCAAAAATCTGAATTTCCAATAAGAAATTATTAAACTACGTTCAATTCTAAATAAAAAAGATATACCTGTTAAAAATCGATAAACTTAACCGTTTTCGAAATAAGAACGATTTACTATTTCTTTACAAAATTATTTGTTTGAACGTACGCCTTTAAATAAGATGACTTAATTACGAATTAAGACAAACACAGTAACAACTGAAAATTTTATTATGCTTAAGTCTAATTACAAAAGATTCTCAAAGTGGCGACCATTGTTTTCAATACATTTTTTTATTCTCTCGTTAAAATTTTGTCTGACACTGAATAGACTTCTTTGTTGGTCTCTGATAATGTTAACAGATTCTTGTATTTTTGCCCACAGCTCTTCTCGAGTATGTATAACATCTTTATAAACTAAAGATTTAACGTTACCCCAGAAATAAAAATCTAGGGGATTTAAATCAGGGCTACGCGCAGGCCAAGGCACTTCGCTGCCGCGACCAATCCAACGGTTTCGAAAACTTATATCAAGATATTCTCTTACTGGTCGGGAGTAATGTGCGGGAGCACCATCATGCATAAACCAAAAGGTTTGCCGTAAATTTAAGGGGATATTTTCAAGAACGAGTGGCAAGTCATTTGTTAAAAAATTTAAATAATTTTCCCCATTAAGTGGACGGGGTAACACAAATGGTCCCAAAATGTTATCGGAAAGTATTCCACACCAAATATTTATTGAGAATTCATGCTGAAAATGTTGTTCTCGTGGCAAGTGAGGATTTTCCAGTTCCCAGGAATGGCTATTTCTCCAATTAAATACACCGCGCCGGGTAAATGTAGCTTCGTCCGTAAACAATATTTTATTATAAAATGTAGGGTCAGCATTTTGTTGCCGACGAAGAAACTGTGCGAACCGAAATCTACCAGGAGGATCTTGTGGCATCAACTGTTGAACCGGACGAAAATGGTAAGGATACAATTTTTCTTTGTGGAGTATTCTGAAGACGGAAGGCTGACTTACACCAGTAGCTGATGAAATTCGGCGTGTGCTTGTTTGCGTGTTTTCGGCAATTCGCACTAAAACATCCTCTTCTTGCTCCGCCGCTAATACTTTAGGCCTTCCAACGTCTCGTTTAGGGCGAAATGATCCCGTTTCTCCTAATCTGTCGTACAACGTCTTGAAAAGCTTGTGGTTAGGTTGTCTGTTATTTGGATATAACTCCAAGTACCTCGCTGCTGCATGACGACCACAATAATTTTCTTGGGCATACACACATACCATGTTTCTCATTTCAACAAACGAATAATCATTATGACGCGGCATTTTAATGAAAAAAATCACAAACGAAGAAGAACTAAACTGTCTAGTATTTATAAGTTGCTTAGAATTGACATAAATAATACATGACATTTCATTGACAGCGGCCTACTTCATTTAAGTCATCTTATTTAAAGGCGTACGTTCAAACAAATAATTTTGTAAAGAAATAGTAAATCGTTCTTATTTCGAAAACGGTTAAGTTTATCGATTTTTAACAGGTATATCTTTTTTATTTAGAATTGAACGTAGTTTAATAATTTCTTATTGGAAATTCAGATTTTTGAAGGACAAAAAAGTTTGACATATGTTTACTCCGACGGAACACTACAACTAGCGCATCCTAGATGTGATTGCAAAATAGTTACCATTTCCGTAATTACCACCTCAGAAAACATAGGTGTACAAACTTTCAAGACAATCCGTTCAAAGATGCTCAAGATATTTAAAAAAATCGAAAGTATTTTTCCAATTTTAACACCCTGTAGATCGAAAAGGAACAACATTCGGATAAGGCATATTTGGCTTAATCGCTCTATTTTGAGGTCAGCAACATGTCCTTAAGCTCTGTCCCATTATTAATGAATCACCCTGTATAAGTTGAAATTTACAGGTCAATTAGTAAAGAGAAATGGTTACGTTTCTGCAATATTTTTTATTTTTTTCAGCCATATCTGATAGACCTGTAACATTACCGACATTTTTTTTAATAGGACGCTATATATTTTATAGTATAAATAGTAGGTTTTACCTACTTTTTGTCATAGTATTTAAAAAATGGAGGAATTAAATGAAAACAATTTTAGTACTACTATTTATTTTATTACAGCAAATGTTCAAAGGGGCCCCCATTAACCATTGCACAATTCGGTGTTCAAAGTTATCAATCCTTCGATAATAATAATAATAATTTATTTTCCTGTTGACAAAATCCATTTGTATAGGAATGGTCACAATTTTTACTTAAAAACTAACACTAAACATTACCTACACTGAACATTACCTACCATCGAACAATTCTTGCAAACTATAAAAAACTTTTCTCGTAAGATAGTCCTTTAAGGACCTTTAAAAAATTGATATGTTATCAATATGTTTTATCGAGGTAGGCAACATATTAAAAATTTTCAAACCCAAATGAGTGGGAGAGTATATATGTTAATACATATTTACAAGGCGGTCCGTGAAAATTGTCCTTAGACCTTGTATTCTTTTGGTGAACAAATGTATTTAAAATAAAATTTCTTTTATTCTTAATAACAAAAACACAGAGCTCGAACAAATATAGACCAAACACCGTTAAAATTTAAAAATTTTTAAACAATTCTTTACAGAAATAATTAACAGGTATACCAGCGAGACATCTAATAATGCGTTTCTGTGCTGCAAACACGTCCATGGTGTGAGCACTTGGTCCCCAAAAGCGTATGCCATATCGCAACCTTGAAGATACCTGTGCATGGTATGGTAAGGTGCTCTTGAGAGAGGAGGGTGCGTATATTTCTTAATAAGAAACAAACCGAATTCAGTTTAGAAGCTAATTGAACACAATGCTCTTTCCAACCGAGACACTCGTCAATTATTACGCCCAAGAACTTTATTTTACTATCAAACGATAGTGATTCTGAGCCATTTAATGCTATGCTTAAAGGGTTACAATATTTTTGTCTGTTATGAAATCTTATCACATGCGTCTTTTCTGTATTAAGATAGAGATCATTAGAATTGTACCAATTTTTTAAAATCTGCAGAACTTCGTTGGATTTACGTTCTAACTGTACATCTTCTTTATCCGAGATTAATAACGACTGATCATCTGCATACATAGTGAATTTTGCATCAGTGGTAAGAGAATCCAGTTCATTTGTGTAAAGCAAAAAGAGCACTGGACCCAATACAGAGCCTTGAGGCACACCCACATCTATACCTCGATATTCTGAGTTTACCATCTGTATCCCCGTGTTATCAACATGCCTTAAACTAACAAATTGCAAACGATGACTTAAAAAGGATTTTATCCAGTCCAATGCTGTCCCTCGTATACCATATGAATTAAGTTTATCTAGTAGCTTGTTATGATTGACGCAGTCAAATGTCCTGCTGAGATCACAAAATATCCCAACAGGGCATTCACCCGCTTCCAAGAACTCCAAAACCCTTGGGTAGAAATTATGTATTGCTGGTTGCGTAGACATATTGGCCCTAAATCCATGTTGATTTTTTGTGAATAAATTATGTTTAGCGACAAATGTTGGGATGCGCTCTAGAAAACAGTACTAAAAAATTTTAGAAAATGTTGAAGCGAGAGTTATCTATCTATCACGATAGTGTCTGGTCTGTTCTTTTTAGATAATCCACAAAAAAAATCTAGTGGGGTTGTCAGGGGAGCATGGCTCAAAAAAAAAATGGAAAATTTTGCAGAACAGTGACAATTTCTATTTACTAATTGACCTGTTTCAGCAACTTTCTTAAATTTCAACTGGAAAAAAATATGATTTTTGTTCCATCATTTTGGGCACACCGTATTTTATTATATTTCTTTAAGAATTATTAAACAAAATAATATTTTCATAAATATTTGTTGATAATCTTCTGTTATTACTTTTTTTATTGTCTGGACTAGGTCTGTAGTAAATATAATAAAATACTACTATTACACTATACCGACGATTCGTCGTTTTCATTAATTCTTCAAAAAATTGTGAGAAAGTTTAGATACAAACTTGAGAATACGTCTTTATTAAATATAAAGTTAGAAATTCAATACATAGGGTCTTGAAGATGTTGCAATAAAAATGACGAAACGTTGAGAAATAAAAATTATTTTTAAGTGTTTTTATGCTTTTTTGCTTTCTAACCTAGTTCAAATAAAAAAGATCTATTTGCCCTAAAGAATTAGACTTATTCCTATAAACATAATTTTTGTAGATGCTCAACTGCATATAATTATTTTTTTTTGTAATACACTGTCATTTTTAAATAAATAACCAGTAAATTTTCAGAAATAAATGGAACATGATGTGATAATTAAAGGATCTTGGATAGACAATAGGAAAGGTTGTACAAAAAACATTAAAAATAATGATAACGTCATAGTTTTGACGTAGTTGACATCATCGCTAAGGTGATTTTTAGTTGATATTTGTTTTGAGACTCTTATATATAACTTTTAAACGAGAAGTAGGTAATACAGAAAAATTTCTCTAATAAAAGTTTATTAGAAAAAAGAGAATTTTTTAACAGGAAAAAAATTTGGGTATGTTTCTGGCAAAAATATAATTGATGACGTCATTAGTCATTTCTGTCAAATTCCAAATATAATACTTTCGATTGAAAATGGAGCTTACCTCATCGCATTTAACACCACATGTCCCAAATTTTATTTATTACCAAGAATAGATTATCTCCTTTTAACTAATAATTCTTACTGCAGGATTCCAAAAAGGTGACGGATGTAAGATTTTTCGACTTGCAATTTGCCAAAGACGGTTCTCCTTGTTGCGACCTCTCATATTGCATCTACGCAGGAGCACCGAAGGATGTCTTGAAGAATCTGGACTATTACCTTCAAGTTTACCACGATAGCCTGTCCGAAACCCTCAAGCAATTCGGATGTAACTCCGAGGATGTTTACCCTCTACAAACGCTGAAGAAGGATTGGAAAAGGTTTTGCAAGATAGGGATTATATTCGGTACCATGGTTAGGAAAATGAAATTCACATACGAATTGAGTGACTTTACAGATGTTGGAAACGACGAACCGGAAAAAGTATTCCAAACTGACTACGATAAAGATGCGTTCAGCAAAAGTGTTAAGGATTTGTTCTATCACTTAGTTGAAAATGATTTTTTTTAAAGTTTGTTAAAGAAAATTAATGATTTGTTACATGTCAAGTACATCACTGTCTTTTCATTGAAATCACAATTTCATGTTTTGTAATTATAGGTCACATTTTATGAAGTTAAGTAAATAAAAGAAATATTTAAATTAAAATAAGTCTAAAACGGCTGATCAGTTCCAATAGAAAAATCAGTAAAAGAAGAAAGGACATGGGATTATAAAGTCTCTAACATATAATTGTAACCTGAGGGGTTATGTCTTTATTTATCTATATATCGTTATGACCAGTATCATAACGAGTCTGGATTTCAAAAGAGTTTACTATTTAGTTCTCGAAAGGGAGTTTATAATTATCATTATACTTTAATTAATACGTGGGAACTTAGAAATGTTGTAGGTATGTTCAGAGAATGAATTTCAGGCACTTACCCTCTATTGCTTACGTAGAATGTAATCCAGTGGTTGGCTATACAGGATGACACTGAAGTTGAGAGAAACAAAAGGAAACACCAAAACTTACAGGAAGGGTTTTAATAACAATAAAGAGAACAAACAAACAAACAAAATTACAACACAACGGCTCGAACAACATTACTAATTAATTTATTGGCAAGCGACAGCGTACCGAAATTCAGGGAATGCGTGCTCCATAGCAAAATTTGGAATGACTTTATCCATCATTAAATTTAATTAACTAGCCCGAGACTCTAAAAGTAAGTCGACTGCTCAATGTGAAACATAAGGAAGAATCGACTTTTTCTCGCTTCGACACGCCCCATTTCTTGGGTCCAGAAGTTTATGTTCTTATCTTAATGGCGGGAACCCTGAATGTCGGTACGCTTTGGCATAACTATGCCATGTTAATAATTACCTAAATAATTTTGAGACTAAACTTACAAATAACCCTAGCCTTCCTCTAGTGACTCCGTGTAGCGGTAAGGGACGGATTAGTCGATCTCATTTAATATATCCTTATAGCTTGGAAAATCCGTCAAAAAACCAGCCATTTCTTTTCCTCATAACATTCTAACAACTTATTCTTGGAATTGCTACGTTCTTTGGAATGCATTTCGCGCGTTATTTGAAATATCGATTCTTCTCTTTATACTAGATGCTCAACACATGGCCCCGTCAGTTTAAGTGAACTTGTAAAAAATATATTGCTAAATTTCTCCGAAGGACGACGCTACACCCACTTGAGAGCCCTCAACTTTCGATAATTAGTGTTGACTGAAATATTTTACTTTTTGGCCCATTCGTTCCGAGAACTAATAAATAAATTACTAAGCGTCCCGGCTTTTGTTACATAATATTTAAAAATTGATACCTATTACGCGGCGTTTACGTCGCTTGTAAACATTTATGAAGGCTGTGCATATTGGATTTTGATAAAATAATCGATAGATTCGATATCTTTGAAATCGACTTAATGCATTTCTAAAAAAAAAAAGATTTTTGAAAAAAGTCTTGGTCAGCAACGAAACGTCGTGTGTATTGTTTAATTAAAAAAGATGGTATTTATTTAAAAATAGTTTAGTTTAGTTAAATTATAGTCTAGTCGTCTAGTCTAACATAATTAAATACAATTTAATATTGCTTAATTTTGATTTATTATTTAAAATAGGTACTTCTCAAAATTCTTTTTTAAATGGTGTTACTTATATTTAATTTGAGTAGTATATTTAACTTACGGTAGTGTTATATTACATAATACTGACGCAATGTTTTGTAATTTTAATAAACAATAAATAATGCTAGAAAATATGTAAGCAATTGTATAACCACATTATCGCTTATTTATTTTTCTTAGAATAAATAACCGCTAATTGCTCTCATATCTATTGCGTATTTAGATAAAAAAATGAATTTTCCAAGGTTTTAATAAGAACAGAGATATTGAACTTAGAACAGAGTATTACTGGGAATTGGAGATATATTTTATTAAAAATAAATTCTTATCAAACATTAAAATTCGCACAACTAATTGTTGAAAAAAGAAAAAGCTAGTTATCTGGACGAGCACAATTTATCTATCTCTTATTTCAAAATCACCTGTTATAATTATAACTAGAGCTGTCCTAAATTGGCCGCTCACTAAAGACAACATTAAATATGGTGAACAATGATTATAAGATTTGTCATTGTATCATTGTGAATCACGTAAATTGTTTTACGCATCATTGCCATTGGTTCCACAGTGTGGATGGGATCCGTTATAGATCGCATCATCAGGTATTAGTCGGAGAGCTGACGACGAATTTAGGGAATGTATTTTAGGCAAGTTGAATTAATAAAAAAACAGTATTTTATCAATGGGTGAATCTAGAATCGTGAGTCAGGCAGAGCGTTAGCGTTTCGCTACTGCGCAGCATGTGACATTTGCAAAAAAATAAACCAAAAAAATATCTATTTTGGAATTTTTTTAAACTTTTATTTTAGCATTTATATAACCCAGAAATAAAAATCCCAGATTATTTTGTCCGTTTGAAAGTATGACCCGACCTCCCCGAATATATTAAAAAAAAAAACAAAAAAAAAATACAAGTAAATACCATTTTATTACATTTCATATTGTACACTATTGAAAAATTATTTTTTAGCAAATAAAATCGAGGAAAACGCAGCGGCGGAACACATTGAAGACGATCCGTCAGACAGTGAAGACGGTCTGTTAGACAGTGGAGACAGTCTGCCAGACATTAAAGACGATCTGCCAGACAGTGAATCATCAGAGAGCAGTAAAGAGGAGGAACGAAACGAAATTATAAATTCATCACCGTTAAGAGTTAATCTTTCTTTTTTGTCGCATTCATTTAATATCTTTATTTGCGTCAGGGAATTATGGTCCGACATGCAATTTCCATTCGGGGTTGTATTTATTCCAGTAGGAATTAAATGTTTTATTATAGAGGGTTATCCAAAAGTCCAAAACTTTTCATAGTTAAGACCATTTTTGGACGTAAAATTTCGTGCTCTTTTCAAATCCGCAATAAAAAATAGGGGTTTCCATTTAAAAAACTTAACTTGACCTTCAAATGACCTTGAAGGTCAAAGTCAAGACCAAATTCAAGGTCACCATCAGATAGTCAGGGAAAAATCCTTACGCATTTGGTTGCAACATTTTTTCCCAAAATGCATTCTTCGAAAGTTCTGCCGTACCGGGACTTTTGGATAACCCTGTATACTATATCAAATGGTAGGTACATGCAGTTTTTTTAACAAGAATTACTTTTTTTCATAGAGTGGAAAATGAAACAGTTTTTGTTCTTTTCAACTCCACCAAAACAAAATTTTGACAAAAATGTATATAAAAAAACAACTACATTTATATTTTTAAAAACCAGTATAAAATTAATATTATTTTTATTATTTTAGCAGCTAGTCCTGTAAGCAATGCCCAACACACACTCAATCCAAACTAAAACAGCAGTAATGACTTGGCTTTTAGAGATTATAGAATCGGATCATCACCACAGAAATGCGCATTCCTGAGTGTGATCGGCGATATAAATATATAGCCCGGGAGTCAGCGGCCGTTTTGAGTTAGTCATTTGGTAAAAGCTGAAAATTTTTCCTACGCTTCATTTGGTATCACTAGTAAGTAAATCGACCTCCAGCTCGTACAGTGCTCAGCTTATACAGTCAAAGATGTAACGCGCTCGCGCGCATAACGATGTGCTGCACCTTCAACTCATCAGCTGAGCACTTATACACCGCAAAAACTTCAGCGGACATTTTTTTTCGTATAACTGATTAAGATGACTATTACTTTACCAAATTTCAGCTTTTTCGGTATCAGTTTACCTAGCGCATATTTTTGACTTATTTAGATGAAAAGCTGAGGCACAACCCCCCACTCTGAAGTCAGCTGATTGCGTTTTTTCGTTTGTTTACAATATAATCAACATGTCGACAAAATCTCAGCTTTTGCAGTATTAGTTTTTTCTAACGACTATTTTTCGTGTTTGGGAGGCTGCCGCAACTGTACCCCCCGGAAGTGCGCGAGCTGGAGGTCGATTTTTTTACTAGTGACACAAAATGAAGCGTAGGAAAACTTTTCAGCTTTTGCTCTTTTGGTCATCAAAAAAGGTCACTGGCTCCCGGGCTAATACCTCGAGAGGTATATTCTTATCGCAAATACGAACAAAAAGTACAGTTTTAGATAACGTGCGGATTGCACTTCTATAAAAAAATTGGTTCAGTTTTCGTATCAGTCGTTATCGTGTATCAGAAGAATGTGCAGCGTTGTACCTCCTCAAGTTTACGAAACACTGAAAAAGGNCAAAAAAAAAAAAGGGGCTAAAAAACATAAAACATTCCATATCTCCGCAACCGTTACTTTGCGAACCCATGTTTATTGAGACTTTTCTGCTTATTTTGGTTCATACTATTATCTCCTTAAATATTTTACACTCTTTTTTTAACACCCTGTATTTAGTAAAGGAAAAGTTGTCAGCTTATAAAGTCAAAGATGTAACGCGCATAACGATGTGCTGCACCTTCAACTCGTCAGCTGAGCACTTATACACCGCAAAAATTTCAGCGGACATTTTTTTTCGTATAACTGATTAAGATGACTATTACTTTACCAAATTTCAGCTTTTGCGGTATCAGTTTACCTCGCGCATATTTTTTACTTATTTAGATGAAAAGCTGAGGCATAACCCCCACTCTAAAGTCAGCTGATTGCGATTTTTCGTTTGTTCATAACATAATCAACATGTCGACAAAGTCTCAGCTTTTGCAGTTTTAGTTTTTTCTAACGACTATTTTACGTGTTTGGAAGGCTGCCGCACCTATACCCCCCGGAAGTGTGCGAGTTGAAGGTCGATTCTCTTACTAGTGACACAAAATGGAGCGTAGGAAAACTTTTCAGCTTTTGCTCTTTACAGTTTTAGATAACGTGCGGATTGCACTTCTATAAAAAAATTGGTTCAGTTTTCGTATCAGTCGTTATCGTGTATCAGAACAATGTGCAGCGTTGTACCTCCTCAAGTTTACGAAACACTGAAAAAGGTGATCGAAGGGAATATCGAAAATTTCGAGATAGTCGTTCACGATGCCAACAAGAAGGGCGAGGGATTCCTGGGGGAGGTGGTATTCGTAACACTGGAGAATAAACAATCAAACGAAGTGATCAATCTTGTTGTTAAACAAGCTTTTACGAAGCAATCTATCAGGGACGTTGGTCCAATTCGGGAGGCGTTCATGAACGAGATTTACTTCTATGATCAAGTTTGGAAACGCCTGAATAAGTTCCAAGAGAGAATTCCGATGCAATCCCAGTCCCATAAGGTGCCCAAATATTTCACCTCGACTTCTGAGGATGGTTCTGAGAAATTAGTACTAGAAAACTTGAAATTCAAGAAGTTCGAGGTGCACAACAAGAAGATACCCTTGGACAAACAACATTTCGAATTCATTTTCAGGGAGTACGGGAAGTTTCACGGTTTATCGTTCGCTTACAAGTCTTTGTATCCTGAGGACTTTGCTAATCTAGCAAAGGAGTTACTGGATATATTTTTAGTGTTCATTAATGGAGATGGATTTAAAAAGGCAGTTAAAAACATAAATGATCTTGCCATGGATAGCCTACAACCAGGAATAGACGATGCTGTTATAGAGAAATTTAGGCCTTCTGTTGAAAACTGCGTTGAACATTTTAAGGAGAGTATAGATTGTAATACCAAATATACCGTGATTACACACGGAGATTGTTGGAGTAATAATATGATGTTCAAATACAGTGTAAGTAAAATATCGATTTTAATTTTATTGTATGTTAAGCTGTCCCATTTCCAACTTTTCTTGCTTCGTCTTCGAAATTTTCCATTGGGGATCGATCCTTAACCTACATACGTATGGTATTATATGATACGATATCTTATAAATGATAAATAATTAGACATAGTCAGCAATCGTCCTTTCACTTAAATCTTACATTGAATCTTCAAAGACAATTTGGTACCCAAAATTGTTATATAACTATATCAAATAATACATCACATTATTTATTATTGCTATGTAATGTGAGGTATGTCGAATTATAAGACAGGTGACCACGAAATTACTCAGTTATTTGCTAGAGTTATCAGTTCCTTATCGTCAATTTGCACGATTTATTAGTGCCTAGATAGTATTGTTTAAAATGCTCAATAACTGCTAAATCAGATTTGATTTGGAACAATGTACATAATAAGCTGGTAATAATGTGTCATCAAAATGTAATGTATACATGGTGTCCCAGAATAACGTGTACAACGGAAGACCACAGATTCGTGGACTCAAAATAGGCAAATTTAGCCTAATTTACCTATATCCGAAATCGCTTCGTTTGGCTACTAGATGGCCTCAAAGTTCGGGAAAATTTTTTGAACTTTGTAAATAACTAGAATACGTATTAATTGATTTTGATTATATTTGTGGTGTGGACTTTTGTTTTCAATCTACAAATTTTGATGTTATACAGAGTGTTTTTTTAAACTCAGAAGTCTTGCAAAATTGATGTTTGGTGATAATATATGTTCATAACTTTTTCCTCTTTCGGGCAATAATGACAACTATTTTTTATTTGATAGGTGATACCATTTGGAAGTTTATTTAACAAAGTGCTAGTAGTCTCTGACTTTATAAGTTGACTGTAATTTCAGTTTGATCTTTAAGTTATTGTACCTGCCAGTTCATAATGAGTGTTCACTACGATAAAATATACCAGATCATTTACTTCATTTTTCGATATGGATACACTCATACGACGAATTAGAGGTTATTTACAATGTGCCTAATTTTATGGAAATAATTCGTAAAAACAATCAAATACAATAAAAAAATTTTTTTAGATAAAAGTAACTAAATTGAGGTTATTAAATTTAGTACAACTTATTATAAAAACTGTTCAAAATGACCACCGTTGTTTCTACAACAAATGTTAATTAGGCGATGAAAGTTAAAGGACACCCTTTGAAGTTCTTAACAGTACAGGCATTACAGTAGGATCACCCGCAAAAACTGACGGTAAGAATATTCCATAATAAAAAGGTGTGGATCGTGTTGGTGAATCAGATTATGGTTCGTGCTGCAAAAAAAAGTCAGCGTTAATTTTTTATAAGCAAAAAACAGGTGAAAAAACAGGTTTTATTAATTTTTAATATAGAACTTCTGCATTTAAAACAATGTAATTTCTACAAAATATCGGCGCTAAAAAGCCCTTTAATTTGAATGGTTGCACGTCAAAATCGAATAAATAGTTATTGAGTTATTGCAAAAAAACCACTAAAATAAGCCATTTGTTAATTATTTAATAGCTTTAACAATTTGCAAAATATCAATTTCTACCATTGTGTAAACTAAGCGTTTCGAAGGGATAAAATTACGGTTCAAATTTGGAAGAAAAATATTGAAAACTTTTTATGTAATAGCAATTGTTATTAAAAATGGGACTTTTTTTAAATAATTTCTATCGATTGGGGGTGTCGCGCAGCATTCAGCAAGGGCTCGTTCTTTTCGTGAAGTGTTCTAGTTTCATGCAGACCCGTTTACCTGATCATTTTTTCAATTTAAATTGTTTAAATATCGCTCCAAACTAATTGCTATAAATGGCTTAATTAATAAATGGAATAGCTCCCGTTGTAAACGCGATCGTTTGGCAATATTTTCTTAAAGCTTGAATTTTTTGACGAATTTACAAAAAAAAAAATGAACTTGCTAAGTGCCCTGGGAGCAGATAGAATTTAAAAAAAAAATAAAAATAAAAAATTTACCCCCATTTAAGTACAACCATTATTTTTTTATCTATTAGCAGTAGTAAATAATTAATTTGGATCAAAATTAAATTATTGTAAAATAATAATATGGCAAATATAATCCGATTATGCAGTAATAGTGGCTACTTTTAAAAATTAAAGAGAACGTTTGAAAATGTTGCAAAATACCCACCGATAATGGAGAGCGTATAAATTGCAGTAGTAAATAATGGTCTTTGCTTTAAATCGTGAAGGTCCATAGCCGCAATTTCATCTCGCGTTTGGCGGTGGATTCAGGGATGTTGTTTTAATGCTAGTAACATCACGATTTTTTTTAAGAAACTTCAATTCTCCCTTTAAACATTGCTGAAAACGGCACCACAAAAATTTAATAATTAAAGGCGTGAGAATTTTTTTTTTTTTTAAATCCTATCTCTGCTCCCCCTTATTTTTCTTGTTTTTATTAGAAAACCAATTTGAAACAGTAATAAGTCAACAAATAACCCAAAATGCTACAAACTTACAATCCACATGCTTATTAATATTAACATTAACATTTATGGTAAAGACGTAATTTGATGCCAAAGGATTATTGGAATCATGTTGTGATTGTGGTAAATTTATAGAACAGGTTTCCCCTTTGCATATGCTTGCTTTAGGAGTATCCCTTGTATCTTTTTAGCAATATCAATTTTACTGGAAACTGACTCTTCTATATAACCTTCTGCCACGGTAGATGACTTCCATCCACCGTGGAGTTTGAGTGTTGTAATATCCCCTCCAGCATTGGCTAAGAGAGGTGCAGATGCGCGACGTAAGCCACACCCTGTATATAAATTAGAATCTGTCAAGTCCAAAAATCGCGCAACAACAATAGGGATTTTTGATAGGTTGTAACTTCTGAACAAAAACGAATGGGACATGTTCCTATGAAAAAAAATGTTTGATATTAACTCAGCTGTATTTATTGATTATTGTTTTCAGGAAGAGAGAAAATTAATCGACGTAAGATTCTTAGATTTTCAACTGTCGAAAGAAGGTTCTCCTTGTTGCGACTTGAGCTACTGCTTTTACTCGGGAGCACCAAAGGAATTGCTGAAGGATTTGGACTATTTCCTGAAAGTCTACCATGATAGCCTTTCGGAAACTCTGAAAGCCTTTGGATGCGATTCTGGAAAACTATATCCTTTCCAGGAGTTGAAGAATGACTGGAAAAGATACTGCAAAATGGGCGTCATGATGTCTCTGATGATATGGAAAATAAAATGTACCCCTGAAGAAAATGTGATCGATTTTAATGACACGAGGCCGGCGGAAGAGAAAGAGAAAATTTTCCAAACCGGTTACGACCAGGATGCGTTTAAGAAAATTTCTAGAAGTTTAATTTTGCACTTGTACGAAAATGATTTTTTGTAGTTATTTAAATAAAATCACATTGTCCGCAATTTTTTACTCGTTTATATTACTCTGTAAATATCTAGAATTTTAATTCTACATCATCACAAATGGTACGAATTGTATCCAACTTTTTTTTTAAATAATTTTCAAATTTGTAACATTCCACATTTAGTGTCAACGATGCAGAGATACCCGACTGATTTTCATCAATTTACTAAAACATAAATATGTAAATAAATAAACGGTGATAACACAATAACAAGACATGATTTGACATAATTGACGTACATCGTCTGCCTTCTTGTTATCAGTGTTTTTTTTCATTGAATTGATAAGAATCAGCTGGGAGCGTCGGCAACGTTGACGGCAATATCTTATCTTTTAAGTCAATGGAATTTAGGTGTTACAGCACAAGTGACTTTGTAAATTTAAAATAAACACACATAAATTAATGAAAGCTGTAAATTTAGCTTTACGGATCAACAAAGACAAAATCAGTTGTTTATAAATTTTCCTATACTTTCCACAGCGTAAATAAACTTTCTTCACATTGGATGTCTACTGATTCAAAAAATTAAAATTAAAAAACAAGCTTCTGATATTGCAGATACAGATAAAAAACAAGAGATGTCGCTTCTTTCCTTTCATAACCTATTTTACAAACTTGTGACTAGATAGGGATCTTATACCTACATTTGAAGAGAAGTAACATAAAAATTATAAAGTTTACAAAAGGTATATGATTTAAATATTATTATATACCATAATGACTCAATATGTAGTAACATTTAGTCGATAAACTTGAAATGTCAAAGATTTTTTAACCAAGAGGTTAAGATTAGCATTTGAAACAAGACAGATACAACCAATTTACAGACAAAATTTTATTTTTTTAAAAGTATTTATCTACTTATACAGTAAAGCATATTTAGAATGAGGGTTGCTTTCGCTGTACAGCCAAAATAAAACGCTCTCTCAACGGTACAAATAAACTATTTTTATTGAAAACTAAGCTTGTGAAAAAAAGACGTGTTGCCTGTTCGAGTGTTTGCTGGAGAGTCGGTCCTCGTGGTGCGGAGTCGTTGACAGAAGTACCTGGTCCTTGGCGCCAATCTGCCGGGGTCGTCTTCCGGGAACCCTGGTGCGTCCGGGGTGGCGCCGGCGTCAGGCTGGCGCTATTGACGTTGTACTTAAAAATGGATCACTTGCAACATGTGTACCAACAAGAATATCACAGAAATGTTTATATTTAGAGTGTGATCTTTATTGTGAGTGAATAAAACAAAAGTTAGTTGTAATGAAATACATATTATACATTTACAGATGAGAGAATACCCCATTTTCACAGGAATTAAAGTTGCCATTTTCGATATAATCAAATAAAGAGCAAAAACAGACTTGATTAAAGAAACAGCGTCAACAATTCAACAAATAATGTAAGTACTCGGTAACTATCTTGAAAAGAACTGTTACGCCAGCAACTACCCACCAGAAAAGTGTTCTTCAGTTTTCCTGAAAAAACTGTTGGAGAAATTGCTACAATATACTACATATACGTACAGGGTGTGGCGTGTTTTTATAAAAATTAAACTACAGCTGCCTGATGATATTTGTAATAGAAAACTCTTATACGAAAAAGTTCTATCTTCGCGTTTTTTTTTTGTAAATTTATTCAACGAAAATGAAGTCCGATCCTGTGTTATTTATTAAAAACTTTGGAAATGTTTTTATGCGACCCGAGATGCCACCTTATAATTTAAGTCGGTACAATCTAATACTAGTAATAGTAAAAGGTTATGTTAGATTGTCAAAAAAATTGTGCAGTTAACTGATTTTGTATTTGTATTCAATTCATTATTCACTTAATTATTAAATATTAAGCATCGTCCATCGATCCATCAGTGTTAAAAACGAGATTCTTACTTCCTACTTTGCTTAATTTTTTGGATTGTGCACAAACTAGTTTTACAATGAACCGATAAAACAATGCATTTACTATTTCCGAACGTGTCGATATGGTGTTAGCGTATGGTGCAGCCGGAGAAAATGCGCTCGCGGCGACTAGGTTGTACCGGGAACGATGGCCACAACGTCACCCCCCATGTACAAATACAACCCTACAGTGCGTTCAGCGACTGCGAGATACGTGAGGTGTTATTTCTCGAGGATAAGGACGTGGTCAGCAAGTAAACCCTTAATGTTGAAGATGCAGTGTTGGAAAATCTTGAGGCAGACCCCACAATTAGTACTCGGCGACTCACACAGCAAGTAAAAACCTCATCTCGTACCGTACATTGCATCTTAAGGCGCTAGTTGTTGCACCCCTATCATCTGCAACCAGTTCAACAGATTTTACCCGCGGATTGTGATCAACGAATGCGTTTTTGCAAATGGTTTGCATAAATGGTAAGTTTCATTTTGTTCCATATTTTAATGGAGTTTGTTTAGTGCACACAGTTAGCAACTACAGATGCTTACGGACGTGGTTTTGTTTGCGAACTCTTGCGGTAACAACGATGCATTTAAGATAGTAATTACTATTAATTATTGTAATAATAAAATATCAGTTTTTTTTAAATATCTATTTTTCTTAATTTGTACTTTTGCATTGAAAATTTCCCCAAAAATTGAGAAGTATCGTTCTATCTTTTAACGACGATTTATTTACGCGACTGGTCTACAGCACGTAGCTCATCGTACAGCACACGAACAGGACCGTTCCAGAAAAAATATTTTGATCCATAATTGAACTTTAATTTACAAAAAAATGCAAAAATAGAAATTTTTCGTATAAGACTTGTATATTACAAATATCGTTACGAAGCTGTAGTTTAATTTTTATAGATTATACACGTGACACCCTTTATAAGGACTCGCTGACTATCAAATAATGTTTAAATAACTATATACATGATCTAAACTCAGTTCTAAGCATTTTACATTGCATATGTAACATTATAAATAACACTCAATGTGGAATACATTATTTTTTGTTAAGTTGTTTATGAATTGCATTTAACGAAGAATATTTACAATGTAAATACATTCGTCCAGCATAAAACAACTCATAGCAAGAAATGACAATACACTTTACAGTTTTAAGATTGCTTGTTACAACATTAATCTTGCTAATATATTTAGCTTTAGTAATATTAAATAATTATTTTCCTTAGATATAAAATCATGTCCCTTGTCCTCCTTTTCTTCTAAATCTTCTCATCGTACTCAGCGTCCTTAAACATTTGCATATCTTGATCGTATTCCAGTGTGACGTGGGTAGATTCAACGACCTCATCATCGTTTTCCTCTCCAAACCAACAAACTCATAGCAACCATAGAGAACCATAGTTCGCTTGGATCTCATCCATATCCTTTAAGTTTAGTGAAAGACTGTCGTAACAGATTTAGAGCCACTGGTGCATGTCACCGAATATTTCCTCCTCCAGAAAGATCCTTCGTGCTAAGCTAAGACAAACATATTTTTACATTCTGTTAACATTAGTTCTCAAAAGCACAAACAAACAACGTTTTTGTATTATTTTTGAAAAATGAATTTCCCATTTTGGAAATATGCAACAAGGCTATTTTTTTAAAGCAAACAAAGTGACGTTAGAAACACTTCCGACTCTTCAAATCAAGAAAAATATGACACAAAAAAAACTACTACTACTACTACTGAATCAACTACTCCAAAAATCCCGTATACAAATTTCATTGAAATATAACTGATTGAACATTTTTTTGAAGATCTGTAGATTGTAGTACATTGCATTTTCCAATCATATACTTGTAGGGAGCAGATTACATCTGGACCACAACCAAATGCTTTGAAACTTTCTGAAAGTCCGCCATCACCGATTGACCTGGACATTTCAGATAATTTCAAAGGCTTAATTTGTGAAGGATATCGTATGGGATCAACCATATACTGCAACTGTTCTCATTACAAAGGCTTTTCTTTATCTTGGTTTACAAAACTTTAGTAATCAAGATCCACAAGTACCAATGTTTCCAAATTCTCTTCAGTGACTGCTGCAAAAACTCTGACAGATAAATAAACTGACACCATGAAGAAACCTTCTCCTGGAATTTTTAAAAATATTGTTCATTTCTTTATATACTTGTAGAAGTAAACTTCATTCAGGAAATACCTTTCGATGAGGTACAACTCCCTAATCTCACCAGAAGCAGTTTTCACTACAAAGTGTAACTACTTTCTATCATTTATGTCTAAAATTAATAACGAGAAGAAGAATATCTAATCTAAGACCTCAACGTCCGTCTTTCTTTAAACTGTCACATATATTTCGGTGTTTTCTATTTTTATTTAATTTCGTTTGTCATCTTACGCAAAAACAGTATCACATCATATCTTTAAAGACTGACTGGTGCCACACTTATCACGACGTGTTTATCAGAGGTGTGTATTGTTAACAATGTATTCGATAACGAAGATATCTTTGTCTAAAATGTGGATATCTAAATATAACTTAAAATATATGAGTTATTTTAACGACTTCATCTACGTAAGACCTCCTGTTGGTGATGAACCTTCCAAGGCCATTGCTTTCAGTGAGTATACCTCTGAGATTTTTCAAAAAACTCTAATGGTAGGCTTGAAGCAATTAATCTAAGTCCACAAAAATTAAAAACAAATAACTCGAAAAACAGTTAAAGTTCTTAGTGAAGAGGAAAAAGCTGAAAATCAGGTTTGAATTATCCCATACTATACTGTAACTGTAAACTAATCGTATTAATTACCTATATTTGTTTTACATTTTTATTAATCCTTATTTAACAAAGAAACTTAACAATGTAGATAAATATACCTAACGTAAAAACAGCTCCTTGCAGGAGATAATTAAAATTTTAACTTTCCCAATACACAAAACTTCTATTAAACTAAGTAATCCTTTTCGTACAGATGTAAAAGTATGTCTCTAGACCTTTCCCTGTAAGTTTTTTCATCGCACTTTGCGTCATTGAACTTTTCCATGCCTTTTTCCCCTTCCGTTACGATGTCTGCAAAATCAACGATCTCTTCATCATACACGAGCTTTCCTCTCCAAATTGAGATACCCATAGTAAATCCCAACTGACAATGTACCTTCCAGTCATCTTTTAAAGCTTCCAAAGGGTATAGTTCGTCTGGATCACAACCATAAGCCCTGATACTTTCCGAAAAGCTGTCATGGTAAATTTGCAGCAAGTGGTCCAAGTTGTCGAAGATTTCCTTCTTACCACCAGAGTACAAGCAGTAAGAGAGATCGCAGACTGGAGATCCCAGTCTCACAAGTTGGAAGTCCAAGAACCTTACGTCGATGAGCTTCCCAGCATCCTAAAACAAATATATGTATAGCAGCCAAAGATTTACATGATTGTGAAAGAAACAGGTTGATGCAGACGAGATAATTTTGATTTTGGTAGAAGATTATAATTGGGTATACGTGCTGTATTCGTTTCATTTGTAAAAAGATTCTTGCACTGCTACAAGATCATCTTTTACGTCTAGACTTTTGCAATTAGCTAATAACAAACTATCGATAAATCCAAATCTTGCCCGCTATAATTTATGCAGTAGAAGAAGGGTGCCTAACTCTTATGGGACTTTGAGCCCATAACATACAACGTCCAAGTTTGAAAGGTGTACGAAGTTGTAGTATCTGGTTTAACAATGAAAAAAGTCAATAACCATAACCCTCAAAATTGAGCGGTTTCTAAGATAATAGTTTTCAAAACTGTTGAAGTTACACTAAACCATAAATGAAAATAGTCATGCGCAACGGACTAAACCATGTAATTTGATCTTCAAAACTGAGTCTGACATCAGTTTGGTTCTACTCATCATGATTTTTTGAAATATCTCAAATAAGCCATAGATGTACTCTATAGTTTAAGACGTTTAATCATTAATAACGCTCTAATGGATACCTCGTATTTTTTATTAGTTATCTTCATCAGAATACTCTTGCAAAACTGGCATTAGCGATAAATCTTCAGCGAGTAGTCTTATTGTTTCTTGGTATTGCCCATGTCCAAATATCAAATAACTGTCATGACATACGTACAACATCCTACTTAGACCAGGCCGGTTCTGTTTCAAATCACCCATATATGGATGTTTTATATAGTATCGCTTTAATGGCTTGAAAATGATATAACAAAACATAATTTCACTATGCACGCGCTTCAAAATGTGTGCTAAACTTATTATTAAACAAATAATGAAAAAATGGAAAAAATTTTTTATTCTCTTTTTTTCAACATAGTTAAAAAACTATTCATTTTACATTAATAACAATAATTATATAAATAAATTTTTAAATTTATTTTTAATTTTAAATACCTCTTTGTATTTAAAATAAATTTATATTCAATAAAAATGTAGCGTAATGCTTTTTTTCTAAGATAATTTGATTTTAAAAATTTATTTATATATTTATAGTTTGAACAAATTTTGAATGTTTAAACAAATTGAATACAATGCACAGATGAAAACTATATAAATTTGAGTAATATTCGTTAATAGAATAAAGAAAAATACGAGAAAAGTAAAACAAATTAAAAAGAAGTAATTATTCTCAATACATTAATAGGTCGATAATTAACAATAATTCGCATTTGAAAATGCGATATTTGGACTTTTCAGCTTGCGAGACATGGATTTTAAAAAAAACATCACAATCGGAACACTAGAAGCCGACATAATCAAAATTTTGAAGCGCGCCGCTATTTTGAACGCGCGATTTCAATTTCGAGTAGGCCGTAGTAGGCGAGCTCTCGACTCCACCCACCACTACCTCCCCATTTTTCGTGAATTTCATGCTCGGTCCAATAGTTATAATGGGTTGCACAAGGGCGCAAGTTTTGCAAATTCACTCCCGGAATGTACTCGGAATGACAAAGGAATTTTTTTAAAAAACAGCCCTCCAGACCTACTAGTTGCGCCACATATGCCGGTCAACTTTGATCGACTATAACTCTGGAACCAATTAACGAATCACCACGTTTTTTTTTTAAAGATGCGTGTTTCCGAGAACTGTAAAAGCATAATTAAAAAGAATTATAATGAATTTATAAAGTTATTCTATTTGTTTATAATCGCAAAAATTACGCCATACATATCTTTAAACAATTACCACGGCTTTCCTAATTAACGGATTTCAACTTTTCTGGACGCATTTTAAAGTTTGAGTGCCGTTTTTTATGTGAAAAAATTTTCAAGTATCTAGAAGTCTTAATTTAGGCTCAGTTAAAATTACAAAAATTTAAATTTTTTTTCAAAAATCTGGATTGCAAAATTATTACTCGAAAACTATCGGACCGATTTTAACGAAAATTGGCGTGATGTTTTATTATATCAAAAAGATTTTTTTGGCCAGGTAAGTAGATCCTACCTATAATATAAGTACTTTTAAAAAAATCGCAAAAGTATTGTATTTCTTTCCATTTTTTTTGTTGTTTTTGCTATATTTGCAATAATTATGTTGTATTTTCTTATTTGAAAATAGGTATGTCTTGTGCAATATTTAATTACGAATCTTTTTACTTCAATTTTTCTCTAAAATGAATAGTTTTTGAATTGTGTTTTTGATTTGTTTAATAATAAGTTTAGCATATGTTTTGAAGCGCGCGCATAGTGAAATTATGTTTTGTTATATCATTTTGGAGCCATTAAAGCAAAAATTAGCGATACTATATAAAACACCTACACCAAAACAGATTCCGCTTCAATAAGATCATGAATTTCAATATTTTTCTAGTCACTGAAATCTCGGAAATCGCTTTCTGGGGAGAATTTCTTGGTGATTGGATTTAGCAAGTCAAAATACTATACTCGTCTAGTTAACAGCCTAGCCTACTTCATTTTTGTGGTGCTGTGTAATTATTTTGTTAAATGTATAATTATTGTCATATTTAACAGTGATTAAATAACTTACGTCATACTTGAACATCATGTTGTTGCTCCAGCAGTCACCGTGGATAATAGTAGAGTACTTGCCGTTGGCCAAACTGTCCATAAATATTCTTTGTCCATCATCAACGTAATGCTCGTATTTTTCAATAACTGCATCTTCTACACCTGGCTGGAGATGTTCTAAGCACCGCCCATGAGTGTATTTGTGGAAATCCCCGCTCTCCTCTTTCCCAAAAAACAGTTCAAATATGCCGTAAAATCCTTTCACCAGCTCAGAGAACTCTTCAGGATACAGGGCTTTGTACGAGAAGGACATTCCGTGGAATCTTCCATATAACTTGAAAATGAACTCAAACTTTTCCTTTTCCACAACCTTCTTCTTGTCATGCATTACGAACCCTTGATATTTCAGATTCTCCAGAACCAGCTTTACGGAATTATCTTCGGATGTAGTAGCCAGACACTTTGCTAGGTTGCTAAAGCGATACTCTTTGGGTATGGTCTCTTGGAATTTCAAGAGTTTTGACCACACTTTCGTGTAGAAGTAGATCTCGTTGAGGAAAACTTCCCTTATGGGGCCAAAATCTCGTATAGCTTGCTCTGTAAAAGCCTGTTTCACCACAATGTTCAACTGCTTTCCGTTGGTTTTGTCGCGTAAGGATATGAAGAAAATCTGTCCGAGATAACCCTCTCCTTTCTTGTTAGGGTCTTGCACAATTATTTCATAATTTTCTATGTCTCCGTTCGCAACTTTTTTCACTATCTCGTATATTTTCGGTGCAACGACGTTATTCATTTCTTTCGGCGGTGTTTGAGTTCATTAGTTTGGTGTAAAAATAATGTCAAGGCCGAATCTTAAGAGATGCGCGCTGATTATTCGGAGACTGGTGAGATACTAAGCGTAATATGTGTACAACAATCGAATGAACCGCCTTAAATGACGTATTATCGAATAAAAAACAGATAACTATTAATTTTACGAACATTTCATCAAATGAAATCAGTTTTGACAAATATTACGCAATTTTTATTTAAGTCTGTCCAGGAAATACCGTCAAACTACATTTATACCGGAAAACCTCAGTTTCTCCTGGTACTTACAGAATTGTTAAAATGATAACATTAACATTAATATGATAAAAAATTCTAGAAAACTGGCCACAGCCGCATTTTAAAAATCCAACTGTATCTTCCGCTGCTCATGTTATACAGTGTGTATCAGCCAAATGGAATAATTTCAGTAAGAATGGGGGCGTGTTCGAAAAAACTCTCACAATCAGACACGTCGATTGGTATTTTTAGTTGCGCATTGTTTGCAACAAAAACTTTTTATGCAGGGTGTGTCATGTAACAGTGGTCAATACCAACTTTCTTATTTTAAATACACCACCCTGTAGACACATTTCATGTACAACTGTTTCAGATTTATTGCAAAAATTATCATTAAAAAAAGAAAATTATTTGATTACAGAAGTTCGCTACAACACCCTGAATACTTATTTCCCATATAGCTCTTGAGAATGAGAAAGTAAGCAAAAACCATTTCAGCTTTCCTTTTTACTGACATGAAATAAAAAAATATATAAATAGTTTTGTTTACTTTTGTTTAAAACGGCTGGCCTTAGCAACGTGTTGTCCGCCTGCATGACAATAGTTGACAGTGTTATAGTCGTATGAATTTCGTTAACTGCATTTCAGAAAAATTTAACAGAAATGCATAAAATAACAATTCTATAGATGATTGGTTATGGAGATAACACACGGGCAGAAATGGAAGTTACTCGCTTATTTCATGAAAGATTTCCAGCCGCCCATATCCCAAGGGACAATTAGTAAAATAGAAAAGCAGTTTCGCGAGCTTAGTCATATAAGATAGATAAAAAAAGCAGCTGCCAATGCAATAAGTGATGATACCAAATTGGATATTAGGCTTGAGTTTGGGCAAAACCCATATATTTTTAGTCGAAAAGCGGCCCCAATGTTCGATGTTAGCCATTCATCGATTATTCGATTATTAAAAGAAAATAAAATGCATCCCTATAAATTGAAACCAATAACTCAGGAGCTCATGGAAGACGATTTTGATAGAAGAACGCATTTTTATGAACAAGTGATGGCAATGCTAGATAATGTGATCCAACTAGAACATGTTTTGTTTTCTGATGAGTGCACCTTTACACTTCATGATCATGCTAATCGCCAAAATTGCTGCTATTGGTCTAATGAAAATCCTCACTGGATTACAGAAGAACATACGCAATACCCTGAAAAGGTTAATGTTTGGTCAGGAATTATTGGAGATCATATTATAGGTCCCTTTTTCATTGATGGCAATTTGAATGGCGATAATTATTTAGCACTGATCCAAGATAATGTCGCGCCAACTTTGACAAACTTATATCCTGATCCAACAAAGCCACAAGTTCCAGCGAATATGATATTATGGTTTCAGCAAGATGGAGCACCGCCCCATTATCAAATCAATATCCGGTAGTACTTCAATCGAATATTTGTAAATCAGTGGATAGGGAGGCGAGAATCAATGGAATGACCAGCACGATCTCCTGATCTGACACCATTATACTTCTTCTTATGGGGATATGTCAAAAGTATTGTCTACAAAACTAAACCCTTCGACTTCGTTGACTCAAGAAGACGAATAACGCTTGCGATGAGATCGGTCACGCCTGAGATGTTGAGTAACGTTAGAAATTTCTATTTAAAATTAGAATGGATGTTGCCAAGACGTTCGCAGCGAGCGTTTTGAACATATCCTACATTGACAGTAATGTTTTTTTTTGCTTTTTTACATTATCAATAAATAAACAGTAATACTTATTATCAAATAATGTTGAATATATTTAAAGATAGTGACTAAAATGTTAGATATACCATAAGTTATATGTACCTAAATATTATGTTTTCTATGTATCGATACAGCAAGAAACTTTTATTCAAATGAAATTTTTTCATTAACAATTCTTTTAATATGATGCTAACTTGTGTTTAGGTAAGACTTTACTAAACAAGTAAATTAAGATGAATCTTTTTATTAGGTGTATCAATTCTCCTTTAAAGAACCTTTAAGCTTAGATATTAAATAAAACAATTAATGATTTAGGACGTGTATTAATATGTATTTATAAAAAAACCGATGTAAATGCAGCATTAGGTCCCTTGGAGTCATTTTATACTCCTCCTCATCTTAGCTAGACGAATTATGCCCTTCCTCATTTAACCCTGTCTTGTCAAGATCTTTAATTTTGTCATCAGTCATCATACGTCGTTTTTATCCTCCAAATGGACAAAACTATCATAAACGCTAGTTTGTAATACCTTTTCCAGTAATTTTTCTATTTATGGAGCTGATACTTGAGTCTCGGCTGAAGCTTTCAACCGTTCTGAAGGGTTAAGTACACTATAAGAAAATCAGTTAAGTGGGAAAAATTGTAGAATTAGCCCCTTCGAGGAGAATAATCTATTTCGAATGCAAGAAACCATCGTCAGGTTCCTTTCTTAGAACCGTCACTGAATTTTATGTTGAACAAAAGACGCAATTTTTTTTCCAAAGTTGTATTTTAAGTAGAAAATAATGGCATGCAGAAAAAACAATAAATATAATAATTATTATGTTCTGATAAACTGACAATATCGTATTTTTTACGCAATAATTGATAGCATATCAAATTCACATTAACAGATAAGATTTTTAAAGTTCAGAGAAAGAGACAGTGCAAGTTAATCTGAATTACGAATCTAAATCCATCACCTTCAACAAGGAACCTTTGTTTGATGAGTTTTGTTTTAGAAAAAAATGCGGTTATATGGATTATATTTTCGTGATAACTCACATGTATTTCGATTTAAATTCAATATAAACTTTTAATTTGAAACACACCACAGAAATGAGACAACAATTAGTTGCAATAAAAATAAAAATATATTAAAAATCCAATTGGTAGTCAATTCATTGTTGGAAACGAAAAGAAAAATTGATCGTTATTATAAAATAGACACATCATATTTAAACGTCATATTGTTACCCCAACAATCACCGTGCATGATAACAATATTCTGTTGCATATTTCAGGATAGAGGTTATATCTTGGTATAACTCCAGGTACCAATCCCATCAAGTAAGTTTCATGGGTATACAGGGTGATTCAGTCATAATGTGACTGTCAATGAAAAATGAGTATAATACAATGGCGTGATTAAAAAAAATTTAAATGCATATTTAAGCTGAAAAAAATCAAATCATTATTTAACCCCCTTTTCGTTGTTACTGACCGGCTGACGACAGCCGGCTACGATGTGAACAAGGCGCCCTAGATGCAATGTTGCCATATTTATATATTTTCGCTCATATAAAGACAATAAATAAACGGTTTGCTCAGCCAATAATAATGTAAAATGCTATAAATTATTTTTTATAATTATGCAATCAACATATTAAATTGTCATTGTTGCCCAGCAAGAACCTCGAGGGGGTCTGAGCATGCCTTGCCAAAATTCAGTTTTTATTAACATCATAGTGATAACTTCTACTAAAAATTGAAAGTAACGCGGCCCATTCAGATGTTCAGGTAGAAAATGCGGCCCAATTAAACGATCGCCATATACTCCTGCCCAGACATTGACCCCGAATCTCCTCTGAAAGCTAAACCGACGAGTAATGTGCGGGTTTTTATCTGACCAAATGTGACTATTGTGGCTGCAAAGAAATTAGCTCTGTTTCACTTTAAATAAAATGTAATATTACAAAATTCCAAGAGTTCAAATAATTTAAATTTTATTTCATAACCATTTCAATTTCATTACAGAAATAATGACAACTCTGTAGGTGTTTCCGACCTAGGCTAACCTGTGTCGAGATCACTAACCTTCTAATTTGCACGTGCAGTTTAGTCAGAGTGCCACGGCTGCAAACAACTTATTCTAAAGTATTTTGACCTCCTGAATCCAAAAAACTTGGTCGCAAAGCCCGAAAGTGGTCAGTTTAATTGTTATCAACAAATCAAATGTTTAAATTGCTGTAAAAAGTTTTATAGCTAGTACACGCAACCTGATCTGGCTCCTAGACTAATACGAACTGTAGTAGGATCGTATTCCATGCAAAGTAGAGCAGAAAGTTGTCGGTCTTTTATCAAAGGAAAATCGTGTCATCAAATTGAATGTAATGAATAGGGATGACTGTTTTCGAATGTACGGTTATTACAATTTATCATTTTTAATATTATTAACGTTTTCACGTTTTATAATTTATTATGTTAAATCACACAGTTTTAGCATTTCAATTTATTATTCAATATGCAGTTGCGTATAACCAAAGTTTACATAATAAATGTAAACTTTAGTGTAAATCTAAACTTTGGTGTAACCTAGGTAGGCACTTATTATTTCAGAGAAAGCAATACTTATGTTTTTTACCTGTTTAAAATGCCAGCACGAGTAAAACAGCATTCATCCGTCCAGAGCACTTTGTTAATAAAGTTCTGCTGCACTTCGATTTAGGAACCAATTGCAAAATTCAAGACGATTGGGGAAATCAGCTGCTTCTAAAGCTTGAACTTTTTAAAAATGTGTTATGTTAACTCCTTTGCCGGAAAAATGCGGGAGATATGGAGGGTGGTAGATTTGAATAAACGCTTTAAATTGTTAGATAATGGTTTTGTAACCGTGGGTTACAGTGTATTTTATATATTCGGGTAGTTAATGTGCCGACTTTTTTTATTTGATAAAATACGGTGTGCCTACAAACCTCTGCTTTATTTATTTTTATTTTCAACGAAAGTTGATTTCGAGAAGTCAGGCTTGTTAAAACATTTTGCACAAAGTTAATACAATTATTATTAAAATTAGTTATAATAAAATGCAGCATGATCCTTTATTTACTTGCATTTTATTGGTTTCCTACATATGTATCCATATACTAAA